TGGTGGGCCTGGTGGTGGTCCTGTGGTGGTTCTATGGTGGGCCTGGTGGTGGTGGTAAGGCTTGCGCTGTGGCTGAGGAGAGCAGGCTTGGATTTAGAGCTCCACAGGCTTCAGGGCACCTGACAGGAGCCACCCCCTCCTGTCACCTGGGCCAGCTCTGTTGCCTCATGCTGAGTGACACTTGCTGTCTCATAAGATGACCTGGTCAACCCCCGCCTTCCTCACCAGACTATAGCCCAGACGTGAGCAAGATGGGCGCCCATCCTCAGGGGGGGAACCCAGCGCCTGGCGTGCACCTGCTGCCCAGTGACCGTCTGATGAATACTGATGGGATGAGAAAATGGAAATCGCTGCCAACCACGACAGCTCTGTGAAGCCTACGAGAAATAAACACAAAGGTGGCTGCTGAGGTGACTCAGCGCCAGAGGAGGAGGGAAGAGGAAGGCAGCAGGAGGGGAGAAAGGAGTGGAGCCGCGGGCTGGACGAGGACCAGAGGGGTCCTCTCTGTCCTAGAAGAAGGCGGTTGGCCTGGACAGCCACTGCTTACCAAGAGCTCATCTAGAAACTTCCCAGAGGGGATCTGGTGGAACCTCCGCGAGGTCTTCCCGGGGCTGGCTGGCTACCCTCGCGCCACCCTGAAGAGCCAATCGTGGGGCACCCGGATTCCCTGGAATCCACAGGCCACGTGGTCTGTGACTCTGGAGCTGAGAGTCTGTCCTGGGCAGCTCGGGGCAGAGGCTGAAATTCAAAGGTGGCCATGTCTGCTTCTCCACGAGGTGCCATCCGTCTCCTGTGGACAGGGCTGAGGTCACAGGGGGCTTCCTTCCACACAGCCCCTGGGTGAGCAGACGTGTAGGCACATGTGGAAAAGTAGATACAAACACCCCTCAATGGTCACCCAGGTCAGTGAGGAGGACAGGGAACGCCGGCAAGCGGAACTCCTCCTGCCTCACCTTGCCAGGGAGCCTTGGGAAGGCTGCCCGCCACCTCCATCCACAGCTGCTACAGAACTCCCCGTGGAGGGGCCAGCTAAGCTGGGCTGGAGGGGGTCAGGCCAAGACTGGCCAGGGGCCCAGAGAGGCGGGCCACAGCTGGGGCCCTGCTTCAGCAACACAGCCAGAGCGGTGCACACCGGCCATGGTGGCCCCTGGGCTTCCAGCTGCAGCTGCTGCTAGGCCAGAGGCCATCCTGGTGGGTTCTTGCCACTTGTAATCCAGTCCCCCTGGGTGGGAAGAGGTCTTGTCCGACATCCCAACCCAAAGACAAGGGTAGTGCCAGGGAGTGCCCCTGGAGTAGAGGGACCATGTGTGCCTTGGCACATGTCCTTTGATACAGCTTCTCTGGGGACTCTGGCCAGGATACATCCCATCCAAAACGTTGGCCTCCACTCTATCCGTCCATCATCTGGAATTTAATTCCTTATGTAAAAACAAAACGGAAAAACCCCAACCCCTTAGGAGAAGTTGCCAGAACACAAGGGCTTTCGAACCCCAGAGGGCAGCGACCATTCTGAGTCAGGATCCTGAGCGGATCTGCCTGCAGAATCCCCTTCTGGGCTTGGAGTCACAGTGAAGCTCCCTCTGTAGACTCAGGAGCCTTGACCAGGGTAGAGAAGAGCTGTTCTAGGACAGGGGCACCCCGACCTCCAGCTCTCGGGGTCTCACCTGACTTCGCTACGTCTGCAGGACCTGAGGGTCTTGGGTCCCACCGGTTTTGCTGGACGACTGAGTCTGCCATCCTCTTGGCCCCTTGCCATTGTTCCTACCCCAGAGGGACAGAACAAGAAAGGACACTCTGGTCTTCTCAGGATGGATACCACTGACACATCAGCAGGAACTTCCCAGTGGGGAGGCCTGAGAGGGACAGTCAGAAACAGCAGCCCACTGGGCCCCGAGGTGTTGAAATCCTGAAGGATACTGTCATCTTGGGCTAAGAATGGAACCAGGTCCCTGTGCCTGGGTTTGGCCCTCGATTCTCTGGTGGCTGTGACTTCCCTGCAATCTTATCTCAGAGTGGAGGAAACACTGTTCCTAGAGCAGTTTTCTCTGTGTCCCTGGGGTCATGGAGCAGAGGTCTGCCTTGGCCAGAAACATGGCCCTCCCTGAGACACGGTCGATGGGCGCTGATCAGGGAGAGGGAGGCAGAGAGGGAGCCGCAGTGGTGCGTTCAAATAGAACGGCCCTGCTGGTCCACAGGAGAAGGCTCGGCAGCAGTGGCCAGCCCACTTGCTCCCCACACACTCCCCACGTCACAGCCAGTTCCTCCTGAGGACCCAGCACCACTGCCTGACCCTTCAGGCCTCAGGCCATCGAGATCAGACGGGCACTGAGAAGTCATCCTGCACTGAGGCCAGTTCCCGCTTGGAGGAAGCTGCTGAGTACCTAGAAGCCCTGATGTTTGCAGACCCCCGGTTCGTCCTCCATCCCCAGCTCCTACAGGCCATCTGGCCTAATCAGCCGACGCACGGTGGGGCCCCTGTCACAGGCCCTGCACCCACATGTTGCCAAGCAGAGCCGGGAGATTCCGTATGGTGACACGGTCCCTGCCCCGGACGTCTCCCAGCAGTCTCCACTCCACCAACTCAGGAACTAGGACTTAATCCAAAAAATCCCAGATCTGAAAAGACTACCAGAAGTACGATTCCTACTGTAGAACATTCTGGAAAAGGCAAAACGGAGGGGACAATAAAAGATCAGTGCTTGGCAGAGGTTCAGGACAGGGAGGCGGGGATGGGGGGTGAATAGGTGGACACAGGGGGTTTTCAGGGCAGAGAGACCCTTCCGGGAGGTCGTGTTATTTGGGTGGATACCTGCCATTATGCGTTTGCCCAAACCCACAGAATGAACACGAGGGTGACCCTAAGGTCAACTGTGGACTTTCTTTAAGACCAACGCAGCAGCGCGGGCATATCCGCTGTAGCCAAGGGACCACACTGATGCCAGGGGCTCACAGCGGGGGATCGTGGGTGGGAGCAGGGGGCGGGTTCTGGGACTCTCTGTGCTTTCCACTCAGTTTTTCCCTAAACCTGAAACTGCTCACAATAGTAAGGTCTATTAATGTTTTTTAAAGTGCAGGGCAAAGAAGTAAAGGGGTGGGTGAATTAATTTGGGGAAGTTCCCTAAAGAGGCTGGGTTAGAAGAGGGACGGGAGCAAGGAGCGGAGGAAGGCCGGAGAGCACTCCACGAGGTGCCACGCTGCTCCCCAGGGTTTCCTAAAGCCACCCCCTGCCCGGGGTCCACCCTGCCTCGTCTGCAGACTTGACAGGGGCCTGGAAGTGAGAGGCCCCTGAAGAGGCGGAGGGAGAGGGCGGGGGAAAGCGAGGGGGAAACGGGCAGGGAACGGGGCTCGGGAACACAGGCACAAACCACAAGAGCAATTAGTCAAAAAGAACTTGAAATTAAAAAATGACTCGGAGCCGAGGAGGGGAGTACATAAGTTACTGCAGCCCCGAGACATTTATGAATAATACAAATGCCGAGAGGTGGTGGAGCCGGAGCACAGTTAATTAATATGTACAGGAACAGAGATGCACTTGAAAAACAATGGAGCTGCTTCCCCCTCGCCAGAAGTAAAAATATTTCCAGGAAGACTGACACGTTTATTATTTTCTAACATAATTACCTTATTGTGCAGCGTTTGTAATGGAACACATTAGAGGCGCTAAGCACCTGCCCGGCTTCCCTTAATGCAGTTTGGTTCGGTGGTGCTGGGCACAGGTAGGAGCGGGCAGGCGGGTGGCAGCGGGAGTCCAGGGAGAGCGCGTGGCAGGTGTCCCTGACGCCCTGCTCTCTTCCCCGCCTACCCTACACCGAGCCAACCCCGCGCCCTCCTTCCCTGCCTTCCCAGCCCAGCGCCACGCACTTCCTGCGAGCGGGCTCCGCATCAGGACCAAACATGGGAGAAGGCCGAGCCGGACGGCCTCAGAGGTAAGAGGAGCAGACTTGATCTGGAGCTGGGGGTAGGAGGCTGCGGAGGGAGACCAAGGCTTAAATGTCCACCCTGAGGCCAGACGCCCCAATGGGGAGGTGCTGAAGCCTTTCTGCCCCTCTTGGAGTTTTCCGGGGGGAGGGGAGAAAGAACATTGGTCTGGGGGCCCAAGTCCCTGCTTTTCTGATCAAGACCAAAAAATCACTTTGTTTCTCTGAATCTCAAATTCCTCACCAGAAAAAAATGGCGCAGGGGATGATTAATGGTGGGTGTCAGCTGGATTGGATGAAGGATGCCCAAAGATTAAGAAATTGGTACTTTTAGGTGTGTCTGTGAGGGTGCTGCCAGAGAAAATGGGTGGCTGAGTCGGCCAGTGGGGGTGGGGAGGACCTTGAAGGTAGACAGGTGCCGTCTCACTGGCGCAGGGCCCAGGTAGAACCAGAAAGCATAAGAAGGGGAAGGGACTCTCTTACTCTTACTTCCTGTCTCACCATGGGATCCCGCCCCTGCCCTCTCAGGTGTTCCTGTCACAGTGCCACCTGCCATGTTGTGACGCAGGCAAGCCCCCCTACAGAACCAGTGGGGACACCCAGTCTGAGACTTCCAACCTCCAAACCTGTGAGCTAAATCAACCTCTCTTCTTGCCACCTTACTCAACCTCAAGTGTTTAGTTGTAACAACAGAAAATGGACTAATACGGTGCCGGAGGAGGGCAGCTGGGTTCAGTGGCTTCCAGCATTCCTGTTGCCCTGCATTCTATGATTTGACACACCCTTCAGTTCAAACAAGAGACAGGTCTGGTCACCATACACCACGTATACCACTCTTCCTCCACAGTGAAGAGCTCATCCCCTGGCAGAGGGATGCCCCACGTTCCCAGGAGAGTGGACTGTCTCTTCCTCCCCTCCCACCTGCTCCCTACCCTGCCCAGCCTCTGCTCCTTCCCCTAAACACACACACACACACACACACACACACACAATGGAAACCTGATATCGGGCACTCTCGTTGTGTATGCATGGGTGGTGTTTTGGAGCACCTTACCTGGACGCTTCTCCATCTGTGCCTTCCGGCTCCACTTCCAGCCGTCCTACCTTGCCTGCTGTTGCCTCTCAGTCTCTTCCTCTGGCTCCCCTTTCTTGCACTACCCTTAAACACTGGCTTCCTCCAAAATTTTGACCTTGACCCTGCACCCTTCCCATTTTCCAGGCCTTCTTATGGCTTGTTTGTGCAGATAGACTTTATTTCTGCCCCTTCCTCCAAATGCCAGGATTTGTCAACCCAGTGGCCCAGGGCACATCCTCATCTACTTAAAAATCACTGTGCCCCAAATGGAACCCTTCATCTTGCTCCCTAAACCTGCTTCTCCTTCTGCTTTTCTATTCCAGGGATTGGCATCTCCTTTTCTCACGATTCAGAAACTAGTTTTGCAGAGCCTCTCTTCTTCATCTCCCACATTCATCTGACCATAAAACCCATCTTCTGCCTGAAATATCAGAGGATTCTCTTTCCACTGCCACTGACTTTCTCTCCTGAATACACTCATACAGTAGCTTGTCTTCTGATGGGGTGGCCCAGAGGCTGGTATTCATGTAATGGTAATGAATATTTGGTCCATGAGTAAGCCTTGTCTCCGTCCATCCTAGTGTCAACATTGCTGCTGGTGGTTCTCTTCCCGAATCCAGAGATGATTATGTCTTTCCCCTGCTCAAAAACCTCCTTAACTCCCCATAACCAATAGGATCAACCCCCCCCCTGCTGTTCAATCTTACACAGATTCCCCTCCCTTTCACTCCTTGCCCACCCGCCACCCATGATAATATCAGTTCCTGTGGTCTCCAATTGCATGGACATATCTGATGCTTTGTGTCCTGCATATGTTGCCCTTTTATCCTTTTATCCTATTCACCATTGTTCAGCCTCTGGAAACCAGGAATCACTATTCTGGTCATGAGCCACCAAAATGAGTATCTTAAAATGATAGCAATTATTTTATTCCTGTGTCTCATAGTTCTGCTTGATGGGATCAGGTGGGTGGTTCTTACTCCTGGTCTTACACCTTTGTAGTCAGACATGGCTGGGGCTGAAGTTACCTTGAGGGCTTTCCCATTCACACGTTCACAGGTCTGACCACGTCAGCTTGGCCTCAGCTGTGGCTGTGAACCAGAACACCTATGTACTGTAGCCTCTGCATGAGTCTTTGGCTTCCTCCCAACATGGCAGCCATATTCCCAGAATAAGCATCCTGAGAGAGAAATTGGCAGAAGCTCCTTGGCCATGTCTAACTGACCTTGGGAATCCTGCAGCATAACTTCTGCTGTATTCGACTCATTGAGGTTGTCACCAGGGCCTGCCCAGATTCAAAAGAGGACAGAGACTCCATCTCATGGAGAAGGCATGGCGAGGTTCTGAGAGAGTGTGTGAAATGGAAACTGTGCTGTGGCCACTTTGAAAAAATACAACTTGACACATGCAACAAGCCCTCCTCCTGGACGCCTAGGATGCCCCTCTCCCTCCAGCTACCACGCCACCTGCCACCTCTCTTCCCTCCCCCCCACTCTGCCTTCCAACCTGGCTCCGTGAAGGCAGGGTCTATATTTCACTTATTTTGTGCTTGGCACATAGTTAGCACTTATTAAATGTTTGCAAGATTAATGACTGAATAAGTGAAAGGCTGAGAGTGACCCTCAGCCTCTAGCAGGGATGTTCTATCCAGAGCTGGCGGGTTCTTCCTGGGCTGGTGAAGATGGCCAGGGTCTCCAGCCGAAGCTGTCTCCCGCCCTGGCACACACACACACACACACACACACACACACACACATACATACACCCTGTACACACACATTTATCAGGTCGGCCTCCCCACCCCAGGTGTGCACAGGTGCAGAGCCTCCATCTAGAATCCTCCATTTCTTCCCTCTTCACACTCCTCTTTTACAATTTCTAGCAGTAGAATGAAAGTGCGCTCACAAAAGAGAAGAGAATTCATGGTGGAGAAACTCGGAGGGCTTGTGGGAGACAGGAGGAGGAGGCAGGGGAAGCATCCTCTCCCTCTGCCCCTCTCCCCTTCCCATTGGCCCTGGGGAGCCGTGGAGGGCAGAAATAGTCCTTCTCGCTTCCCAGCACGGTCCCCAGCTGCCTGGCCCGCATTGCTGAGCCTTTGAGCAATTGTTTGCCGAGCCATTCAGTGGGGCAGCTCCCTCGTGGCACCCGGCCCCGCTGCCTGACAGGCTCTGTATGAGGGGACAGGCCTGAATGACTGTAATATGAACCATGAAAGTGGATATTAAAGGCTTTATTACAGGGTGAGGACTACTAATTGCAACGTTCCTTTCAGGAAGCTGGAGCTGATGAGTTTAAGCAGCAGCACCCAATTATTAAAACTCTGCCAGCGCAGAGCAGGGGAGAGGCGGGCAGGGGGAGGAGGCAGGCTGAAGGCAATTACCTGAACTTTATCCAAGGCACACACCACCGGCCTGGAATTTTAAAGAGAGATTGGTTCTGCACCGAGCCTCCTGCCTGTCACAGCCATAGTAAGGCTGGTTATTGATCCCCAGCTCTGCTCGCCCTCTCCCCATCTTCTGGAGGGGTGGTGTTGGTGTGCATCATCTGACACCCATGTCCTCCCTGGTCCCTGCCGTGACACTGCCCCTGTGCTGAGATCACAGGTGTCCAGGGCACCTGGGGATCGGGCGACCCACCCTCTCATTTTGTAAATGAAACGGGCTCAGAGAGGATGCCCGGGTTACCAGTAGGCAAGGGAAGACAGGGAGGGTTCACACCATTCACCCTGTCCCAGCTCAGAGCCCTGGCTGCATGTTCCCAGAGCTGCCGGGGACATGGAAGGCAACCAGAATCTCCTTGGAATCAACTGGCAGGTGGGCTTTACCCACTGTGTGTGTGAGACCAGGCTGAGCTTCCCGTGGGCTCAGCACCATCATCAAAACCCTTCATCACATGCACCACGCAGCACCTACTGGGTGCCAGCTGCGGGAGATGGTGGAGACTGGCATCTCTGTCTGCAGGGAGCTTGGCGGGAGACACAGGAGCCTAGTGACAATCACAGGACTGTGTGGAAAGAGTGGGATGGGGTGTGCACACGCACATCACCCCCTTTAATCTAGTCTCATAAGTTTAAGCACCTAAAAAGCTAACGCAAAAGGAACAATCTGCTCAGAGCCAGGTGGGCGGCGTGGCCGGCAGGGGCCGGGGGAGCTCACCATCACACAGTGGCTGGCCGTGGGTTCCCTGAAAAGCCACTCTGGTGGGCGGTAGGAAGTCCCAAAAGTGGCGGCAAAGAGGGGCAGGGGACGTCCAACTAGAGAGTCTGTGTCTGCAATACGGAGTCCTCCTCATCCCTCTCACAAGCATGTGGAGTGGACATGTTGGCCCATAGCTGGTGGCTCCAAGATGCCCCAGAACGACCTGAAGGCCTGAGGGTCAGAAGTCCTCTCCCTCTTCCCACACAGGGCGTCCCAACAGTCCGTCTGCTGTGATAGAGGAAGGGGTGGTGGGAAGTCCTCATACCTTCCCCACTGACTGGCCTGCCCCCAACCCCCCAGCCAGGTGCTCAGCCCAAAGAGCCTGGGCCCCGCAGATTCCACGCCGTGGACTGAGATGGAGGAGGCCGGGGAGCGGCCAACAGGGGAAGGGTGGAATCGAAGGTTCTCCTTTAGCCGTGTCCAGTGGAGGTGCCAGCTGGATAATCACGCGGAGATGGATGGAGTTGGTGAATGAAGGACTCTGGGGAATAGAGTCCTTGTGAGTATTAGCACACATCTCCACTTCTCTTGGGTAGCTGTGTCAAAGTGGAACCCTGGGTCCCGGGGAAGTCTTCCTTCCGCCTCCACAGATGGCCTCACGACACCCGGTTCTCACTGTCCGTGAAAGGCAGATGGACACCACAGCAGTCGGAACCCTTGTGGATTGGAATCCGGGACCGATGGATGGGTCAGGGATGGGGAAGCTGGGTTCTGGGCGTCGGGACGAGGAATAGTAGGTAAGTCGTGAGACTGGAGGAGAGCACCTGGAAAGGGAGCGGGGAGGGAGATGAGGGGAACGGGATGGGCATGGGTTGCGCTTTGGTGGGGACGGATGCAGCCAAAGAAAGGGGGCAGGAGAAAAGACAGAGGGATGTGGTGCCTGCAGAAGACGAGGGGGCGGGGGGCAGAGAGAGAGGCTTCAAGCAGGAAACCCCAGGCCCACCAGCGGGGAGGAGGCCACCCAATTTCCAACAGGGAGGGCAGGGAGCCCGGTCTCCAGCGGCAGCTCCGACCACAGCCCTCCTCACCCACACCCTGCTCCACGGGCACGAAGCGGACCGGGCCTCGAAGCACTGACCCTCAAGAGCTGTCACCGACGCTGGGTAAAGGAGGCGAGGCGAGCGTTCACACCTCCGTCACCTTTTATCCTCAGGGTGACTCAAAACGGATCACAGACATGATTCAAAGCCAAAAAGCCTCTAAAACAAAGCGTAGAAGAGAGTGTTGTAGTCTTAGAAGAGGCAAAGATTTCGCAAGACCATAAAAGCCCGAAAAACAACGATAAGTTGTGCTTCACACAAATGTTTTTTTTAAAATACTGTTTTTTGAACCACCATGAACAGAATGAGATGGCGAGCCACAGATTTGGACAAAACACTCACAACATGTGCATCTGACAAAAGACTTGTGTGCAGACGACGGAAAATTTTATGACTCAAAAATAAGATAAAAATTCAAAGGGAAAAAAAAAAGATTTAAACAGGCACACAGCCAAAGAGAAGCACAGAAGGGGAGGGTCAGACCACTGGCCACCAGGCCTCTTGGTCCACTGAGGCTGCCCCCCAGCATGCCTTAGGGTGGCTTAGACACAAGAGAAAGTCATCTGTCACAGTTCTGGAGCCAAGATCAAAGCACTGTCACACTGGGTGTCTAGTGAGGACCTGCTTCCTGGCCCACAGATGGCCCTCTTCTCCCTGGGTCGTCACATGTGACAAAGGTACAAGGTAGACCAAAGGACAGTGTAGTTCCCTGAGGCCTATTTCATCAGGACACTAACCCCATTCATGAGGGCTCTATCCTAATGACCTAATCTCCTCCTGGTTGCTGGGGAGGCTGAGGCAGGAGGATGGCAAGCTCAAGGCCAGCTGGGCGGCTTAGTGAGACCCTGTCTCAAAATAAAAAATGAGAAGCCACTGTGGGCGTGGCTCAATGACAGAGGGACCCTGGAACCAATCCCAATATTAATAAAAAATAACCGCAATGAGGCACTTGCTCTCTGTACCTACTCGAATGGCTAGAATTGAGATGCCAACCACACCAAGAATTGGTGAGTCCACGGAGCCACCGGAAAGCCTGTGTGCTGATGGTGGCAAGGCACAGAGGTGCCACAACTTTGGGAAACAACGTGTCAGACCCCACGGTTCCTTCTCCATATTTACTCAAGAAAAGTGAAAATGCTTGTCCAAACCCTTGTAGGTTAACGTCCATAAGAACTTTATACCTAAGAGCCCCAAGTGAGAAGCAATCCAGATGTCCACCCACAGGAGAGGGGACGGACGTATGTGGCAGATGACACAGGGAACTCCACCTAGCAACAGAGGAGCATCGGCCATGACGGGCAACCATCATGGGAACCTCAGAGAGATGCTGAACGGAAGGCTCCGGACACCAGAGTCCCACTGTATGATACTCTTCCTAGGAAATTCTGGAAAAGGCAAAGCTAGCCACAGTGACAACACGGAGGAAAGGCTGGTGGGGGGACGGGGTTGACCGTCAGGAGTCACGGGGACATTCTGGATGACTCTGTCTTGGTGTTGTGGCTGCCTGAGTGTGCATGTTTGTTAAAACGGATCCGACAGCACATTTTATTGTATGTAAATTATAGCTCCGTAAAGTTAGTTTCTTAGAAAGTGAGTGAGTCAGCTCTGCAGCCCGGTACCATATGCTCTCCACGGGGATGAAAGTGCACGCTTCCACGCGGGTGTGTGAAGGCACACAGGCACCCGGCAGGATCCGCACCCAAAGGCCGGGGTTGTTTGCCTTTGGGGTGGGGGAGGGAGGGAACCCAGGGTGAAGTTAGTGGCCAAGGGCACCTGGGCCCTAACCACAGTGCTTTCATGTCTGAAAAGGAGGCGCTGCTCATACGTCACCTACACTTAAGTGTCCAGCGAGACCCTCGGAGGCCGCTCCCCCATCAATCTTCTGCCGGATGACTTCTGCCTGTTCTGAGCAGCCAGGCCCTTCCATTATCGATTGAGCATCTACGTTTCTAGCAATACCAGAGGAGACAAGACCCCTCTCCCCTCAGCTCACTCTCAGGGATTCAGACAGCCCCAGGTCCGACGCCCCTCGTTCCTAGCTGGAGACCAATTTCCTCCAATGATGAAGCCTCACTTTTCCTGAGTCTAATAGCACCTGCCACTGAGGAATCCTGAGACTCTATGAAAAAAACTAACAAAAAACAAAGCAGAGGTGAAGAGCCTGGCGGAGGCTTAATAAATAAGAGCTGGGATTAGTATTTCATGATTATTACTGTGTGTTATTGATTCAAAGACACGGGTTTTTTTCTCATATTTTACTATTTCTGGAATTGGATACGTTTTGCAATCAATGTCATAATTTATTTGGCAGGTTTTTTTTTTCTTCCTGGCTACAAAAAAATAATGGAGCACCTTGCAATCGGTGTCTTAGCTTCTATGAAATATGGGGAGAGCATCTCTCTCTTAGCTTCCCTGAGAGGCCCTGTCGATACTTAACCAACACTAGGAAGGAGGAGAGGCCTGTCCTCCTGCTAGCCCAGGAGAAGAGGAAAGGCCCCAGCGGTTTCCGTAAAAGAAAAAAAAAATGTTCCACCTTGTACGGCTGTCACTGGAGGGAAGACACAGCCGCCCAGGGCCTTCTTGGGGACCTCTCTGCTGCTTACTGTGGTGCCACCTCCTCGCTGCATGGCCAAAGCTGGTGCCCTGCTCATGCCAGTCTCCCTCCATGCACGGCTTGAGCCTCCCCACTCTGGCCCTTGTCAGCAGTGACAATCACAGGCGCCCCTGGGGTGGCCCTTTCCTCCTACCTTTGTCCCCCATGCCACGGCCATCTGACACTCGGCATGTGCATCCGTCATTGGGGACTTTCTGGTGTATCAGAGGAGCTCTGGTGCCGAGCCACAGAAGTGGACCCTGGCTACCTTCTGCAGAAACGGAAGGCCTCAGAGCGGACGGGAAGAGCCAGGCAGCCTGGGGACATGAGCAGGAGACCAGGGAGGGCAGGCAATGCACACAGGATGGCCAGGTTGCTGCTGCTGCTGCTGCCACCATGATCTCCCCCAGCCCCGGGGTCCCAGGCCACCGCTGCTGTGGTGTCAGACTCAGCCTCCCCGGGCGCCCTGCATCCCCACCACCACCCAAGGTCCAAAGGGGACGGAGGGTCAAATTGCTTGACCCGCCATGTGTCCTCACCTTCTTCCAGGGTGTGGAGTGGGGATGCTGGTGCCGCTTAGCAATCCCTCTGCTGCCGTCCACAGGGCCTTGTGAGTCAGGACTCCAGCCACTGCAGAGAGTGGGGATGCGTGGGACAGCGGAAAGATGGCAGGTGTCCCCTGCATTTGTGCAGAGAAAGGTTCGTGTTTTCAGCTCTCAGAAACGTGTCTTGTTTGGTCTTCTGTCTAAAGTCCAGGCGAGCAGACCCTCTTGGGCCCCCTTGGCCCAGGAACCAGGCTAGCCCACAGGCGAGGCCACCGGAAGTGGCCATGCACAGCCTCCTGTCCTCCCCCTAAACCTTAGACAGGACCCCATTGGATCAGAGCAGCAGTGGGAAAGGGTTTTTCTCAAGTCCTGAATGATGGTGTGTCAGCAGGGAGGGTCACGGCAGTACTTACAGGAACGAAGGCGTTTGTGTGCCTTCTTAACTGATGCTTCCTTTATCGGTCACGGTTAAAGCTGGTGGTTCTCACAACAGGGCGTCAACACAAAACCCATTCAAAATGCAAGTTCTGGGGCCTCTCCCAGACCCGCTCACCAGGCCTCCAGGTGGAGCCAGCGGTCAGTGTGAACAAGCTCCCAGGCTGAGCCTCTGACCCTGAGGACGGCTGCTTTCATCTTAACCCCCCAGGGGGGCACCCACAGCCTGTGCCGAGGTCCCACCCCAAATGCCATCTGCCTGGCGATGTTGGGGGCTTTGAAAAAGACTTCCTAGGTGACGTCGACGTGCAGTAGGGCTAAGGGACAGAGATGTAACCTGCGGTGGTCTTGCAGCCTCAGTGACTCAGGCGGACCTTAGCCCCCTTTGAGAGTAAATTGTCGTCTCTGTCCCTTGAGAGTGTGCCGCGGTCCCTTTCCTGCCCAGCTGGTCCACCTCCAGGGAGGAAAGCCCTCGCCTGCCCCTGGTGCCAGGCGTTCTCCCTGCAGGGACAAGGGCAGCTGCCACCACACCTGGAAACGGCCGAGACCTGCTTTCCAGTGCAGATTCCCGGGGAAGGGAGGTTCTGCAGCCGGCCTGGCCCAGTGCCTCCTCCCCATGGAGATGGGTGCGAAAGGAAGGAGCAGATGTGCTGAGGTGGAGAGCAGCCGCCTCCCTTCACACCAGGGCTTTTCTCCGTCTCCCCTGGTTCTTTCGCCTCTTGGCTTCCGCTCCTGCTGCTGCGAATGAGCCCCTTTCCCGCTTGCTGGGAACACGGCCACAGGCTGCATCTGGGTGACCTTGTTCCTGGAGGCCCAAGAGGGAAGACAACGTCCCACTCAGCCTCAGTGTGGAACATCCCAGGGAAGGCTCCTGGTCATTGGCTGGGCCTCTGGACAAGGACTCGGAGCCATGACGGCATGGCAGGAGCGGTTAGGGGTCATGCCACCCTTACGCACTCTCAAGCCACGCCAGTGTCTACCTGTGGGTCACTGCCAGGGCTTTCTGATGCAGACTGCCCCCCGATAGGACCAGAGGGCCAGGGAATAGACTGAACCTCAACACACAGCGGTCAGTGGAGAAGTTCCTTAGGAGGACAACGAGCTCTTCTCCAATGAACGCATCCATCTGGAGAAGACAATGGAAGGGGTCAGCTTGCATGTGAAGAATGGCTGGAACCCAGGGGCTCTGACCCAGAGCAGGGCACAGTGAGGGACCCACTGGCTCCTGGGAACTTGGAGGATCATCGGGGGAACCTGATCCACACGGCTTCACAAGCACAAGTATTTCCCAGCTGGCCTCAGGACAAACTCCTTAGCACGGAGCCCAAAGCAGAACCCACCCTCCAGGGTCCCCGCTAGCCTCCCGTCCACCTGAGTTCTGTGGGAATTCAGTGACAAAGAAAAGCAGCACAGATATGAGTTAAAGATGGCAAGACGGCTGCATCAGACAGCCGCCCCAGGGGAGCCTGCAGTACAGACAGCTCCCGCCAGACAGGGGAGGCTGAGGATTCCAGAGGGAACAGAGAGGGGACAAGAGGAGGCTCTGGGGACATGGGATTGCTGAAAGAGGTTTGGCCAGGTGGGTTGGGACGTGCATCTTTTGTGGCTTGATGGGTTGCAGCTCTGGTTGGGGGCTGGAGTCAGCTTTAGGGACAAGGCCTTGTGTGCTGGAAGCCAGGCTGAAGACTGCTCGGGTCAGGCCTCCTGGCACATGTGTGGACAAGCCCTCTGTGGGAATTCATAGTTCACACCAGGCACGGGCACCAAGGACCTCAGGAGGGGAGGCCAGGTTTGTCAGGTCTGCTGAGACTCGGCCAGTGCCTAGCACGGGTCTTGATGCTAATATTTTTTTTTGGATAGACAAATGAAGTGTGCGGGCAAGAGGAACACGGAGAGCTCTGATTCTCCCGCTCCCCACCCAGGATTTCTGCTGGGGCAAGATTTAGCCAGTCGGGTCAAGGCGCTTGCAGGGAGTCTGGCCAGGAGCATCTTAGCAGTAACTCCATGCTCTGACACAGAGCGTGGTTCCACGAGTGTCTGTCCTGTCTGTGCCACCCAGATGCGACTTTGGACAACTGGATTAACCTCACTGAGTTTGAGTTTCCTCAGCCCTGTAATGGGAATAAGGATGTCTAGCTATTTGGGTTGATGGAGGAATAAATGAGATTTCACATACCAGCGTCCAATCTTTCCACATGAAGTAATGTGTAAGAAAAGTTACTTCCTCCTTACCCAAATAGTCGTGATCATTTTGTCCTGTTACGTTCCCAAATGTGAGTTCACGGCCAAGTGCTTTGAAAGACAAAGGAAATGTGTTTGCTGCACACGGTTCTTTGTAATGAGAAAGTCAACAAAAATCTCCTCTTTCTGATGATCAGGGTTTCTGAGGTCATTCTGGTCCATGTGGCTACATTAAGTATCCATCTTTCTTGATCTGGAATTGGGGTAGGGCTTTCTCCAAGGGAGATCCATGTGCCACCGACATCATACATGCCTTAGCTTTGGAGTTCATAACATTTCTCTACTGGGGCAAGGGTGCCCTGCTCATAGCATTGACTGCAGTGGGGACTGGGGGCAAAATGAGGCGATGTCCCCAGATTCTTACCACTCACTAGGCACATAGTGGATCCCCAGCCGCAGCCCCAACCCTCTCTGATTCACAGTCTGCATCTAACAAGAGCATGAAAGCAAAAGTCAGCTGACCCATCCAAATCTGCTCTAAGAACAGCCCAAAGCAACTTCAAGGCCCCTTGACTTAAAATCTGGAAGGAGAGACAGGGTAAAAGAAAGGAAAGTTCTAGAATCATGGATTTCACCAACATACCTGCAGGCAGGATTTACTTCCTCAGGCCAGACCCCCAGGCTGACTCCTCAGTGCAGCCCACAACTTCACAGGCTCAGCTCCAGCTCACCTCTGTGGCATTACACCACACTCCTTCTGATATTAGGATCGTGGTGAGTCATTGAATCAGCATGAGCGCACTAAGGCAGTCCTGCTGGCCCCCTGCATGTAGTCCTGGCAACGTGAGGGCCGATCCATGAAGGCTCCTGAGGTGTGACGACCTACGGAGAAGACACGGGATGTTCCCACAATGCCCCTCCACTTAGCAGAGCACCCTCATTAGCATATGGCCACTTCCCAGGCCCAACCTGCAGGAAGCTGCCATTCTATTTCCATTTTCAGCAGAGGCTATACCCTCACTGTTGGCTTCACTGAATTAGCCCCTGCTGGGCTCAGAGGAAGCGCTTCAGAGAGATCCCTTTCGGATTAACATGTAAAATTTAATTACGAGGTCGGGGCCTTGGCAATGTTTAAAGCCATTTACTAAGCCTGGGAGCTACAGCGTCCTCCCCCTTCCTGTGTCTAAGGAGGCTGGGGCAGCCCTTTGATCATTAACCGCTGAGAAAAATCTCAGTTTGCATATTAAGGTCAGGAAATTATCCTTTCACTTTCCTCGCTAAACGGCCAAAGTATTCATCTTGTGGAGAAAGAGCAATTCCGGAACTCGGAGAGCAAGCAGGGACCTCCCGACCCATTAGTCCAGGTCCCCATCTCTAACCGGCTCCACTGCAGAATTCAATAACCAGAGAAGAGCCGGAGGTGCCTGCCCAGGAGGCAGAAGCCCTGTCCCCAGGGAACTCAAAGATGACCAAGAAGATAGGCGCCGGCCACACCAATTAGCCAACTCTCATACCCAGAGGCCCCCCGCCCGGGGAGGTGGCACTTATTGGGGATTCCGAAGAATTAAAAGGAGTTATTTTACAGAGAAAGGAGTGGGGAGGCAGGGGGTCAGGGTAGAGGAAGGACATTTCAAGCAGAAGGACCTCAGCGCTCTGAGGGTCACAAGAACAAAGCTTCTACTCACTTCATTCTGGAAGATTCTGTCCCGCATGGCCATTTGAGGAGGAGTCAGCACCCACACCCTGAGGGCTTTCGACGGTACCCCCCAGGGCAGAGCAAGGCCTCCTTTAGACTCTCGGCAGTATCTGGAGGAGTCGCTGAGGCCGAGGGGACTCGAGGCAGAGCCGGAGCCCCTAATTCCCAGGACCCCTCCCTTGCAAGAGCCCACTCCCGCCCAGGACTACGGCCCCCACTGGGTATAGAAGGATGCCCCCCATCACTTTAAGACGGTGAGGCAGGAGGGTAGATTTGCAGCCTCAAATGAGTTTCAAGACGAATAAGAACAATTGCAATTAACATCAAGTTTCCGAGCGAGGAGATCCTGATTGGAGGAGAGCGCGGGCCTGGCCTTGCCCGCAGCCTCCGCTTCTCCTTTGTGGGGACTTAAACGCCACATGCAGAGCGCGGAGCAACATCTGGGGGACGAGGCCACCTTTGAAGCTAATTTTATGAGGCTCGCTCCCTGCGGGAGACCAAACACAGTTTTTAATTACTCACGGAAGCATGAAAAGGTCCTCTTCCCAGACAGGCCTTTGCTGAAGCCTCGGTGCTCCGCTTCCGTCTTCTCCCGGGCCCTCTTTGTCCTCTTGGTGGGGGAGACGCTAGTCGGCTGTTTTTCCTGTGGCCCTGGTGAGGATAAATGAGGGTCTCCGGCAGGTCAGGGATTTGCTCAGAGATGGTTAGAAAAAAACATCTATCGCTGCCTCTATTAATACCGTATTGAGCACAGTGCGGGGGATTTACACACTTTTTCTTTGACCCTGTGATGCTCAAGGTAGATAGTATTAGTCATATTTTATAGACAAGAAAATAAGCTCAGAGAGGTTATGAAGCTGGCTCAAGGTCACACAGCTGGTAGTGGAATGGAAACATAAGTCTTCAGATAAAAATATAAAATCCTTGTGCTTTCCCTTCTGCCCCCTGTATCATCCCTAAAGCAAAGGGGGCCGGTGAAACCCCATGTCCCTGCACGCCTCCTTTGTGCTCCCCCCACCCCTAGCCAAGTTAAGGGAATGCTGAGAGGCATCCTGGGCGGGAAGTTCAGACGCATCTTATCTTGAAGGACGCTGGCTTTCTCTTGTGCACACTGGGGACCTGGAGCGAGTTGGAGTTGTCCATGGAAAGCTACTTTCTTGCAGGTACAGCAGGACAGTTGCTCCTTGGGACGCTGGTCAGACAAGCTACGGAGCAAGCTGATGCTGGTGACGTCACTGCTTCTGCAGCCTGACACATAAATCCCCTCTCTGGGTGGGGACAGGCGTGGAGCTGAGGGCACAGTGAAAGGGACATGTGGCACTCCTCCAGCCAATTTCCACTGGACAAAGCACCCTGACAGAGCAGAGGTGCTGCTTGGTGGAGCACCGTGGGGTCGGAGGTGCTGAACCTCAGCCTGAACCGGGAGCTCCTCTTGGAGCGGTCGCTGATCTCTTGTAATCATTCCCAATAAATCACGTCTCACAGGCTGTCTCCTGGCACCTACTTTGGTCTGTCTGCGACCTACCCCCTGCCCGGGCACAAGTGGGCCCCCCTTAGGTGAGATCCCGAGGCCGGGGGCCTGGGCGTGCCTAGAAGCTCCGTGGAGAAGTCAGGTCTCTGGGCTCTGCCTGTCGACTTCTTCCCGACCTTCTGGAATATTCCCAGCCTGCAAAAGTTGGGCAGCGAGCCTCCCTCGTCGCCTATTCCGTGGCATCAGAGTGGACCCAGGACAGGGCTGTGAAGGACTTTTCTGAGTTGAGCCAGAAGAAAAGCTCATCTCCACTCCTCCCTCCTGGCTGGGCTCCCGCGGCTGCAGCCTGTAGAACTGGTGCCGTCCGTCCGTCCGTCCTTCCTTCCCCCGGGGACACCTGGAAATGGCTCATCCTACCTGGGAGGCTGGGCACCGGGCGGGGGGCTTCTGGCATCTGACGGGTAGAAGCCAAGGATGTGCCTAAGCATCTGAGGATGCTCAGAATGGCAGCTGCCGGGTCCCCAGGTCACTAGGGCTGTGGTTGCAAAACCCTGCCAAGAGAGATGCTGACCCACAGGGACAGAAGGAGTCCCTTCACGTTGGTGCCCAGGCTGTGGGACTCTGGCAGCCCTAGCAGCAGGACTTGTGGGGGGTGAGGAGGCAGTGCAGATGAAGATCCCCGACTCTAGTGACAAGTGATTTGGTTTTCAGGGGTGAGTGCAGCACATTAGCCCAGGTAGAGACCCCTCTGCGTGTGGGGGCCGGGGGGATGCGCAGGTCGCCCGCCCAGGATGCAGGACAGGGCCTCCTGCGAGTCCCGCCCTCGGAGGACGGGCCGGCTCTTGCTCTGCTCTGCACGCTCGTCCAGGGCAGCGCGGGCCCAGACACAGCGCGGGCAGAGCCTGCTGAGAATCTCAAGTGGCAGCTCGCCTTCCCTCCTGCAGGAAGAAAGTCGCTTTTGACTGCCAGGAAATGAAGGAGCAGGCAGGGCGGGCTGCCTGGGAGACACAAGTCCTCCCTGTTCTTGCTCTTTCTTGGGAGGGACCAGGGGTCAACATGCTGGGAGGGTTTCCCAGCACAAAGCAATTAAGAGGAGGAGTGGGAAACGCGGAGAGAAAGCCTTTTCAGTCTCTGGATATCTTCCCTGAAGTTGGAGGTCCCCAGGGCTGAATAGCATGGCTTCTCTCATTTCTGTGACCCTTCATCTACAGAGGGCCACCGTGACCCTCACCTCCAATAAGGAGAGAGAATCAAACAGGGCTCTGTCTGAGGGACGGATCTTGGAAATTACCTTCGTCCTTCTGTAGCCAGACCTCAGCCCAGCTCTCTCCTACCTCCCCAAAAAGCTGTCTCGCGCCGTGAATTCCACGGCTCTTGCTTCTGTTCCGGTCCAGTTTTTTGGGGGCATTTGCATGGGTGCTAACCTTGGCCCTGAGGGTGGTTTTGCAACCCTCTGACGTGGCTTTAGGATTGGGGGCCGCAGGAGGCTGGGGGGGCCCAGGAGGAAAGAGCGCCTCCTCAGAGCGCCCACCGTGAATCACACCCCCGTGGAGCAGGAGAGAAGGGCCTGCTGTGGAGCCGGCGGCACCCGGGGCACCCGGCTGCGGGGACCCCCAGGCCTCTCCTCCCTTGCAAGGGGCGGAGGAGGAAGGCACAGGGTTCACATCACGGTCAGAGCCACCGTCAGCCACGCGGCAGTTGGCACAGTTCAGAAGCAGGGACCACGGAGCCACACTCTGGGTTCAAATTCCAACTGTGCCACTTACTTTAGTCTCTCTGCGACTCAGTTTCCCTTATGTGTAAAACGAGGGGCTTGCCTTACAGGGATAGGTGCAAATAGCTGGACTTTTATGAAGCGCTTAGAACTACGTCCAAGTACAAGTTCAAAAAAAAATCAAATTGCTAAATTCAATCTCCACAGCAACCCTAAAAGGCAGGTAATACTAACCACTCATAGATGAGGATATTTGAAGCACAGAGAGGTTGAGACACATGCTCAGAGCCACACAGCTTGTCTGGGGCAGAGTCTGGATTCCTGTCAAGCAGTCTGGCCCACGGCCCAGGCGTTGGCACACAGGATGCATCCTGTCTCTGGGCGAGGGCGGAGCTCGAGCTCACAGGTACAGACAAGTGGCAGCTCAGGAGACTGCGTTCAGGCCCTGGGTTGCCCACCAACTGGCTTCAGTTCCACTTTCCTCCCTGAAGATGAGGGGCCCCTCTGGGGCTGTGGGTGGCTCTTCTGGTGGCTCTGGCTCCACCTGGCCAGCTGGGTTCTTGTCACGCCCTGGCCCCAGGCCTGGCCTCCCGGAGGAGGGAGGAGCAGCAGCAGGGAGCAGGGATGGAGATGGAGGCTCCGCGCCTGCCGTCAGCCTTGCTGGTGGGCACAGCCAGGGCAGGGACACGGGACGGGGCAGGGACCTCATCACTGTTCCGGAGCCTGCCAGCCCTCAGCCAGTTCAGGGGTGGCCTGCCTCTGACACGGCGTCTGAGCAGTCAAGGCCACGGGTGCCCAGAGCACGTGTCCAGGACTATCCTGGGGGCTCTGAGCCTCCTCCCGACCTGCCCCCTCCTCTGGGGCCTTCCTGGCCCCCTGGCCCAGCACAACCTCTCCTCGTCCTCCCCACCGCGACTCAGGGAGACTCCCTGGTGGCCCTGATGATGCTTGGGACGAGAGAGAGGGAGCAGCCTGAGCGGAGGTGGCCCAGCCCCACGCCCTTGGACTCTGCGCGCCCCGTGCTCACCCTCAGCTGGCCGGGGCACCCGGGCGGGGCTCTCTGGGACGCTTTGCCTGCACACTCGGGCGCCAGTCAGCCTCAGGGGCCCTGACCTCAGACCTGCCAGGAGGGTGCCCGGGAGGGGCGGGCAGAGACTGGTCAAAGGGGAGGACAGGGTCCCCAGGGCCTTGCCGTGGGGGTCCCCTGGAGGGCTGCTTTGTTCAAGTGTAGATTCTGGGGCTCCGCCCTGGACTTCCAGCAGCCAAATCTGGGGGGAGGGGGTGCGAGGGAAGGTGGGCCTTGAAGTCTCCTGAAGTCCCCGCGGCCCCACGCTGGCCGTGCAGTGGGGTCCCCTGGGAGGCCAGCAGTACTCATGCCAGGGCCACCCCAGGATCTGGGCCGGGTCTGCTTTGAAAGGCGGTCACAGAGCCCCCTGGGTAGAAAACCACTGCTTCTCCTTGGGGCCATCCCCCAGGTCTGGCCCAGGAACACCGGGAGCAGGAGAGCTGGTACCCGCTGGGGCCCTCGCTGCCCGGCCAGGCGGGTGGGCAGGGTGCCGCGGTGCAGTGGCCCTCTCTGCAGGCCAGCACAGGCCACAGCCCGTCACACAGAAAGCAAGGCCCTCAGCCCTGCCCTGGAGGCTCCGAGGCCCCAGGAGGACGCACAGGAAGAACCGGGAGGAGGGTTTGCCACCTACAAGGGGCTCGGGGCAGACTGCAGCAAGGAAGGGGGTGCGGCCCTCAGCCCAGACCAGGGGAGGGGGGAACCACGAAGGCCTCATGGGAGTGCGAGACCCGTGAGGAGGGCCCTTCCTGCCCAGAGCCCCCCGTCACTTGCTCAGAGCCGTGTCTTTGACTCCACGCTCAGATGGGAGCAGACCTGTGCCTCGTGGAGAGGCCCCTGCTCTGCTGCCCTGCACCCTGGCCCCTGGCCTGCTGCACTCCCGGTGAGGACACTGGGCACGGCCACTACGTGCCCTCTGGCCTGCAGCCCGGGGGGCTCCTTCGTCACCTCTCCTCTGTCCCCTTCAAAGACCTTCCCCTCCCCGACACTCTGGGTCTCCCCCGAGGACGGCCCAGGGACCTTCCCGTCCCTCCTTCCCACCCCTCAGAACCACGTCCCCAACACACCCCGAGGCTGCCTCCCCGCCCCACTGCAGTCCCCCTCTGTCCCAGGGAATTTGCTTATTCTGGGAACTCCGCAGGGGAGGAGCATACAGCGGGTGGCCTTTGGTGTCCGGCTGATGTCACCCGGCACGGGCAGTGCCACCTTCTCCCCTCCAGCAGCAGGTGTGGGAACCTCGTTTCTCTCTGTGGACAGGTGCCGGGGACGGAGGCCACGTTTGTGGCTATTCACCGGCGTCTACGCCTCCTCCCTGCTGTCCAGTCTCCAGAACCCAGACGAAGCCACCCCCTCCCACCTGACACTCAGAGGCCTTCTCCCTGGCCTCCTTTCCTCTCCTCTCTTTAAAAACTTGAGGTTTGTTGAGATATGATTCAGATACTGCCTAACCCACCCATTTAAAGTGGGTCATTCCACGGTTACTGCAGCTTAGGTGGCTGTAGTCAATTCCAGAACATTCCGGGCAGCTCAGAGTGAAACTCCAGACCCTGTGGCTCTCACCACCCAAACCCCTGTCCCCCTCTGGCCCCCAGTGTCTACCAGTCTATTTTCTGTCCCCGTGGATTTGCTGATTCTGGGCAATTTGTACCAAGGGAATCAGGCCCACCTTCACTTGGTGTGACCCTTGCCGGGTTCCAGCGGGTTGTGATGTGCCGGGACCTCACTCCTGTCTCTGGCTGAAAACCAGCCCATGACAAGGCCCGCCCACATTCCGCTTACCCGGTCAGCAGCTGACCCGGTCAGCAGTCGACAGACAGCCGGTGGCTCTGCTCATGTCTCTTGGGTCAGCCCCCAGGAGGGGAATTACCGTGTCATGGGGTGATTCTAAGTTTATTTGACCCCCGAGGACCCCCAGACTGTTGTCCAAGGTGACCGTCCTGCTTGCTCTCTGTCCCTTCCGAGTCTCCCCTTCACAGAGCAGCTGATGTGATCTTTAATTAGCGAACTTCAAATCGCGTTTCTTCCTTCTTTTGAAACCCTCCAGCGGCTTTCCATTGTTCTGAGAATAAAGTACAAATGGTCCCCGTGACCACAGGACCCTGTGTCTGCACACTGACCCCATCCGGAACCTTCCCTGCCTGCTGTCTTCCTCTCTGCAGGCCCAGAAACTCCCACCCATAGGCATCTGCGCTGGCTCCTCTCCCCCGGGGTGCTCTTTCCTGTATGAGTCTCCTGCAGCTGCTGTAACAAAACGCCACACACTGGTGCCTTCCCACAGCAGAAATGGATCCCCCACGGCTCTGGGGGCTTGAGTCTGAAATCAAGGAACTGGAAGGAGCATGTTCCTCTGAAGGCTCTGGAAGAGGATCCCTCCCTTCCCTCCCAGCGTCTGGTGGCTGCCGGTGATCCTCGACAGTCCTTGGCTTCTGGCTGCCTCTCTTCAGTGTGTTCACACCCTGTGGCTTCTCAGTGTGTCTCGGCTCGTGTGGCCATCCCTCGGCACACAGCTGCCCACTCTTCCTCCTCAGAAGGACAGCGCTGGATTAAGGGTCCACCCAACTCTGGTATGACCTCATCTCAACTTACAGGCGACAAGTCAGCTTCCAAATAAGATGACATGCAGAGGTTCTAGGCAAAACATGAGTGTGGGGGGGCACTGTTCAGCCTGGTCTCTCCTCATGTCCGTCTCCTTCTGACCCCCACCTCCACCCCAACCCGACTGCCTTCGCTCACCGCATCTCATTGCTTCTGGGCAGCTTCGCCAGCCGGAATGAGGCGAGGTTGTTGTGATGGCGATCACCGGGGTGTGCCTCTGTGGTCCCGGGGACTCGAGAGGCCGCAGCAGGAGGACGGCTGGAGCCCAGGAGTTGGTGCTGATGTTGGAGGCTGGTCTGCTTCCCTCCTGGTGTCAAAGTCCCCTGAAGGTGGCCCTCGTGTCTCTGTAGCCCACTGAATGACTCTGAGCAACTCTCCAAC